TAATATAAAAATGAATTAAAAGTGGCGTTCAATTAAATTCGGAAGCAAGTAAAATCTAAATTTAATTTGTCACTAGAAAGAAATGGATAGGTTTCATAAAAGAATATCTTAATATCAAAAATTAAATGCCATTATTAATGCGCTAAAGTTTTGGCCCAGAATTTAATCAGCGTTTTTGTTTATTTCCAAAAATTGGATGCAGACCAACTTGTGAGATTCTTTACCAATTCTACTTTAACAACTAATGTCATTATTATTAAGTATATTTAAATTTTGTTAAAAAGATTGATAGTACTTGCTGCTGATTATGTTTATATCTCAAAAGGTCTAACGTATGTTCTTTAAGACATCAAAAATACTGATCAACAACCTATTTATTAATTATGGGGAAAAAAAGGATATGCTATGAATTTTTAAATTTAATTAAGGAATAGAAAGATTGATAATGGAGATATTACAAGATTGTGGAACCTATTTGATTATATCAAGATATCAATAATACTCCATAAGGAGCTAAAATATGAGGTATATTTCTTTTTATAGAATAAATACAAATGAATTTAATAATATATTATCCACCCATATAATCAATATATGTTATTGTTCCTTGAGATATGATAACATATGATACATGAGTTAAAGCAGTAGTATTATCAGCTGTCAATTTGATTCTTCTAATTAAAAATAGAATAAAGGAATTGGATAATATTTTGCCCAGTACCTAAAAGCAAAATGATATTAAAACTTTATTTAAAAAACATCATTTTTCTAGTAAAAATTACAAAAGGATATCTTTTCTAATATATTTATAAAAATTTTGTTAACAATTTAATTAATCTCTTTATTCTAATCACTATAAAAATAATTGAATAAATGAAAAAAAATATATAAATGACTTTATAAAAATTAAAGATCCATTTAGATAAAAGATGAAGAATTCCTAACTTTAAACTAAAACCTCTAGATTAGAATCAAAAAAAAATATATTATATCAATTCATTTAATAAAATTAATTATGCAAAATATGCCTGAACAAGTGATTGAGAAGCTAATATGATGAAATCCTTTCAATTGATCTAATATTATAATGATTATAATATCAAAAAATATTTTTGTTTTAAATGCTTCTTGGAAAAGACTGGAATGAAAAATATTTTTGGTATTATAAGGTTTTTTCATATGATTAAAGAGATTAAAGTAAATAAAAAATGACTCAAGAAAGAGTATGTGATATAAAATAGCTATAATAATCTATTTTAGAAGTCAATGATATTATGAAAAAAGTGATTGGTAAACTATATAAAATAGCATCGATCAAATAATTCAGGATAAGATAGAAAAAAATAACTGAATAATAAATAGATTTTTTAAAAAAGAGGATGAAAAAATTATAAAGCAATTATAAAGAAAATGATCAATGTGAATTTTAATTTAAAAATATGATACAAAAGAATATTTCATAGTTTTTAGATTCCATTAAGTAGCCACTTTTATAAAATACTTATTAATATATGATTCAATTAACAAAATTGAATAATAATATAAATAAAATAAGGTCCTCCATAAATAAAGAAGAATGTATGTACTTTTTTTATTATAAATTTTAGAAAACTCTAAGTTTAATGTAGAGTTACAATAGATGAGTGAGATATTATACGATAATTTAAATCAATATAAAATCAACAACATTTCTGATAAAAAATATTCTATTCAATATTGAATGTTATGATATTATTAAAGTAATAATGTTTAAGATAGAATGTCGAAAATAAAAAGAAAAATTTATTATTTGTTTATTCTTTGTTTCTAAAAAGGTACATAGGCATTATTGATAATTATTTTGAAAATCATCATAAATGAGTAGTATTTGAAATTCTGAGACTTAAAGAATTTTGATTACAAGAGAAATATTTAAGAATTATAATTCTATGGTAATAAGAAATATCGAGAATTGTGCAGTTAATGATAATTCTAAATCGAATTTGACTCACATTTCATCAAACTACTTACTTTGGAATAGCTGATAATCGTCTTTGATAAAGGTTATTCTTTCTTATATAAATCTAAGAAGGTACTTTGGCCTAGGCAAAATACATTTAAAGCAAAAAATAGATTTTATATGTTCCAATTAATGAATTAAATACATAAAAATTTGCAGAATTTAAGTTTTTTTGATTTTTTCATTGTTAAAAAAAGAGTCAAACCAAATTTCACAATGTTCATAAAATCGATTTTGGGGAAAAGTGAGATAATAGTTGATTTGATTAATTGTTTAACCTTCATAGTAAATAAATTAAGGATAAAGGATAAAATTTATAACAAAATATTCTTTAAGAAATCAATTCCACAAAAGGAAAGGACTAATATCTTTACTTTATAAATCTATAACATCAAATTCAAAAAAGAATGTCTCATTTTAATAAGATCTTTTTGAATGCAAAAATTTATTGTTTATATACAAGCACCTTATTGATAAAATATAATGGAATGAATAAGAAAATTCTGAAAATGAATGATGAAAGATGAAAAATTATGAAAAAATGAATTATGAAATATCTTAATTGCTGATATAATTTGAATAAATCATTATTGTTGAATCTTATCTTTTTTCTATTATAATAATAAAGGTGAAAATGTTAAATATTTATATTTGTACCTAAAAGATTCAGTATTTTTCTTAATGGCTTTATTATAATGAGAATTAAAAAAATTATATTTTTTTATTTGTATATTATCAAATTTTCACATAAAGCAATTTTCAAAATTCATGAAAAGCAAATTTAAACAAAAAAATATTTTTAAGGGCCTCTCTTTAAAAGTTGTAATTCATTTGCTTCTTTAAATCAAGCAAAAATTATTTTTGGGTACAAATAAAATTGAACATTTTTATGATTTATTTAAAGAATAAACTCATTAATTTATAAAAAAAAAGTCTAATTATATTAATTGCAAGAAATGCTAATTAAAATTTATTTAGTTAGAAAAGAGAGTCACTTATTTATTTTCACTTTTATTTACATTCATTCTCTATAATTACTCAATCAAAATATGCAGATTAGGCAGAAAATTAGTCTAGAAAAAAATCTATGAAAGATGTTAAAAATTTTCATTAAAGTTATGTTTCTTTGATATGACCAGAAAAGTAAAATGCCCATATTATTAAATTGATTAGTGCGAATCGTGTAAAAAGGAATAGACTCTATTAGCAAAACAATTAATTGTGTAATTGCAAAATTTTAAAATTTTCTAAAATTCTCATTATTTATTAGGTTTTGGCTTTTCTAATTATTGGGATAATTATTCTGGTTTTAATTTTATCTTCTTATTTAAAATAATTTAATCAATATTAAGTACAATTAAAGATGGATATTCAAACGAAAATTGTATTATCGAATAACTATCCAAAGTCACTTTAAAATAAAATATATCATTTATTGATTATATCTGTGTAATGTAATTAGGGTGAAGCAATCTAAATTTATAACATTTCCAATTATAAAATTTATTAACATCTTTATATTTACCAAAATAAAGATTGCAGAAAATATTTAAATCTTTTTGATATTGATTACATGCCTAATCTCATGTATTCGATATTATTGCTACTTGGCTGTTTTAAATTCTAAACATTCGATCAAATTTTCCAGTATATAAACCTTTTCAATATAATTAATAATTGTTGGTTACCCTCAACTCCACTAATCCGTTTATTGATTTTTTCTGATTTTGAAATGTATTTATTAATTTTAATAATAATTTGAAAGTCAATTATTATTATAATCTTAAATTTCTTGATTAAGTTTTTATCATATCATAAGTTATATGTGTTTGGTTATAATCAAATATTGTAACAAAAAATTGTTAGCAAATACACTATGCTTCTCATAAACTTAAAAAATTTTAAATTATATCATCAATTATCATAATATCAAGACTTGACTTATGAGAGTATATAGAAATTTAAATACTAATTTAAATCACCCAAGCATTTAGAAATAAATTATGAAAATTTTAGTTATAACTTAGGTTTTATTTAAATTATATTCAATTATTTTAATCGATATATGGTTTGCTCTAAGAATCTCTATGTATTGATTGTTTAGATTCAGTTAGACTCTTTTATCGCTTTTTTATTTTAATCGTAGATTTTGATCTAGAACAGGATCCATCTAATTTCTCTTTAAAATCAAAAATTTTATCCTTTATAGTCTATAATTAATTATCTTTTAACAATGCTAAACTTAGTAAAATCGATACTTGTATCATTATGTTGAGTCTTTATATTTGCATATAATTATTTGTAATGTTTATTTGATTAATTGTCATTTTGAAGATAAATAAAAATATTTGAGTTATTTTTTTTTACTTTCAAAATTGCATTATTTGAATGATATTTGCAAGAATTTTCCAATATTACTGCTATTGTTTTCTAAAAGTTATCAAAAACTTTTTGATATAACTACATCAATTCCAAATTTTTTTTTAATACTTATTTTAAATCCAACTCGTTTTTATTTGGCAAACCCCTCCATGGTTGTTTAATCAAATCAATGAAATTTTCTAATTAAACTTTAGCATTTTGAATTAAATCATTCAAGTTTTAACATCTTTAAAATATTGAGTGTATTTTTCTTTCAAGTTCTTAAGATTAAGGATTTTATTTAAACATTAATAAATATTCATCGATAGTTTAGTTTAATTCAGAATTTTCCTCTTTAATACCTTTCTCTTTTTCATTTATTTATTATAGTTAATCACTGTGTATTTTTTCAACTTGAATTATTTGATCATGTCTTATTTCTAATTTTTATGCAATCTCTTATAATGCATGAGCACTTATTTTTTTAGCTTCTTCTAAGGTTTATTAAAATATTTCATCCTTTTTTTTCACTTATGTTTGAAATTCTTCAATATTCTACTTTAAATTTTTAATCTCATTATTTTTGTTAATAATTTCACAATTATTTTCTTCAATCTATTTTTCATTACTTTAATTCTTTTATTGTTGCTCTCTTACTTACATACATGAATTATTTACTTGTACAAAATCTCTAATTCGTTTATTTTTTTAATTGCTTCACCAAATTTTTGTTATAACCTCCTAAAAATTAATAATTTTTTTACATCTTTTTTAATTTTAAAGTTTTATTTTAATTTCTCAATCCTTCTAATTCGTCTACTTCTAATTACTTATATATATTAATAAAATTTACTTTTTATCCTTAATTATTTTTTTATGCTATTGGCTCATCATTATTTTAATTAAACATTATATTAAGTAATTTTTTCAAATTTGGATATTCAATTTTTAATTTTTCTAAGTGTTCTTAAACTCTGCTTAAATATTGAATCCCATTTTCACCTAATGTCTCTTCAATATTTAAAAGCATTGTTATAAAACCCTTAAATATAGATTTTCTGACTTACTTGCTATTCATTATTTTGTGTTTAGTTTATTTATTTTTTGGATTATTCAATAAAAATATCCTTATCCTTAACTTTCTTAATTGATTTATCTAATACGCTTATTAGAGTTGTATATTGATTATAACTATGATTTAGTATATTTGGAGAGAAATACTTTTCTAATATTACTTCTCCTGGTTTGAATATGCATAATTATTTATTTAAAAATTATTTCATTTTATATTTGTTATTAAACATATGAAAATAGGCAATTCATTCTATTTATTTATCATAATTTAGGATTTATATGATATTTATTTTAAATCTATTAACTTTCTCTATGCATTATTTATAGTAAAATATTATGAAAACTTCGCTTGTAAGATTTATATATAGAAATTTTATCTTAAATTATCTTACTAAAATTTAAAGCATTTAATTATTGATATTATTCCTCTTAACAAAAAAAAAAACCAATAAGTGATCATTTTTTTTCTCTTTAGTCTGAGAACAAAAAAAATAAAAATCTGTCGATTCTCTGAGTCATCATATAATGCAAGATCATTTGAAGATTTTTATCTTTCAAAGTACATCATTAATGAACCATCATTCAAATACTCGATTAAAGAAGATGATAATCATTGTTTCTAGAATGTACATTCTGATTATAGATAATAAGTGTGATATATTATTCAAACTTGATCAAAAGAAGAGTTTATTATTCATTTTAATTATTAATCTGAGACTAAACTACACAAAGTATTGCTGCTTATTAAAGGCCAAGTTACAACAGCCTTCTAAAAAGTTTCCAAATATATAGCTTATAACAAACTGATCAAGAAAAACTTATTTTACAGGGAGAATAAATAAAGTATATCGATGGTAAAGTAGTGCCCCAAATCAAGAGAAAGCAATTTATGTTCCTCTTTCAACGATTTAATTTATGTGAGGCATTGAAATCCAGCATTTTCTCTTATCGCCCTTTTAAAAACTTATGCTCCACATTTATAAAATGAGAATTTATAAATTAATAATAATAAAAAATGAAGAACTTCACAAAATAGCGATATCAATAACAAATGATAATACTAGAGACATTCATTATAAATTTAACCGAATTCTGATTTCATATTTATCTCCTCCTTATTAACTAATCAATCAATTAAAATATCTACAAGAATTCTCAGATTTTAAAATAATCAAAATTGATATACAATAATTATTGAGCCATCATCAACAACATCGTTTTTTTTTGCCATCCTCTATTACATTCTCTTATAATGCTGTCCATCAATTTATTAACTAAGAATGATAGGATTAGAAAATTAGCTGCTAAGCAAAAATATCATATTTATAAAAGAATACTTACATTGATAAAATATTAATCGAATTTTAATGATGGTATTAGTACTTTATTACAATAACCTCAAAATAAGTAAAAACAATAATTATTGAAAATTCATAATAATTTACCTATATATTTTAAGTTTCGAATTTGTGATGTTTTACAGATAAAAGAAGCAATTTCAAGATTGAATTAGCAGTGAAATGACCTAAAAAAATTTACATCTTAATACTGAATTCATGTTATATTAAAGTCACAATATATAAGGGCTTGAAACTTCAGATCCAAGTTTTTTTGGTATAATAAAATTAATAGTATAAATTTTTTTATATCATTCTAAATATTTCCTAATCTTAATCTGGTAAGATCTATTATCTCAGGTTGCTAGATATTATCTATCATCACTTACTGTTCTTTACAATAATGCAGTTTAAAAATTATATGAATATATACTGTATTGAATTTGTTAAATTTAATTTACTTAATTGCTCTTTTTATTCAACAGCAATTATTTTGATGATGTAAATTTTTAAGAAACAAAACATACAATTACCTGCTTCTCTGACTTCAATCTCATCGATAAGCACTATCTTTTAAGTATTTTAAGTTTCTAAGTTAACTGTAACTTTTCTTAGTTGAATTCATAAACCTTAATTTTACCATATATTATTCCTACAGCTAAAATAGTTTCTTCTTTATTAAAATCCATTACATAACAAATGTTCCTCTTTTATTGAACAATCGTTCAATAACTCTCATTTGACTTATTTGAATAAGGTGATGCTTTGATAATCAACTGAATTTTAAATAATTCATTTAACTTTAGTTTCAAATTTTCAATTTATTTATATAAAATACCAAAATAGTTTTTGGTATTTTTATCTTAGTTAATTAATAAGGCTTTTGTTATAATCTGTAAATTAAATGATTTGAGATCAAAATTTAATTTATCTAGATCGGTTTTCATTTATTACAAGAATAAATTAATCTAATCTAATAATTCTTTACAATCCTATTCTTTCAATATTATTTATTAATTCTGATATTTTTAACATCTTTGATGTGCTAAGAAGCCTTTTTATTAAATAACTATTCATTATTAAGCCTTAATCTTCATAATAAAAAAAAGCATTGATGCATAGATATTATTTAAAAGGGAATTATAATAACTTCTTAATTTAAGCACTACAAATAAATTAACAAGAAAGGATATAAGATTACTTTATTAATAAAAAAATTTAAATATAACTATAGAAAAGCTTCGATTACATTCTAAAGGCCTTTAAAAGATTCCAATTATTATTTTATAAAAAATTATTTTTTATTTAATGTATTCTGAACTAGATGAAATAAGTACAGAAGCCAAAATGGAAGTAGAATTAAAGGGAATTTTTCGGATATAAGCAGAAAAAACATAACAGATTTCAAAAAAGAGATTATAGAATAAATTTTGATAATGGATTGTTTTAAGCAAAAAATATAAAAATGGATTCTTAATAAGGTGTGACAAGTAATCAAGCGAAAAGAAACCCAAAAAGATTTATAGAGGAGATAGAATTAAAGGGAACTGATAGTATTTAGGATTAAGAAACATAAGAAATTGTATTAAGAGATTTAATTCAAAGTACCATAAGCACATTGATTCTTTTGATGATTTTGTTGATTTTATCGACAAACAATTCAAATAAGTTTTCGCAACTTGTACAATAATCAGCGGATCCCTTAAAAATTAAACATACGTTTGAGCATTCTATTTAAATTTAATATGATTACTTAAACAAATATTAGTATTTTAATCATAATTCTTTAATATAAATCTAAGCAATTTAAACAATTAATATTTTCATATTTCTCACATGAAAAATGGCATATTAGAAAGAATTAAATATAATAGAATACATTGACAATATTATTAGTTAGTCTCATAAAAGCCATCATTACATACACATTTTTTTTGATCTTAATCTAAATGTCTGGTTGTTCATCTACATAAAGTGCATTCATTATTATTGGAACATTCTAAGCAAGTAATATTGCATTCTAGATATCGATAAATTATTACATTCACATTATTTATTCAAAGAATTAAAGTAATATGATTGGAAACATTAACATTAAGCACATATCAATGATAAATGAAGACTGGAATCACATGATAAGAAATTATTAGATAGTAAAGAACAAGTCAAACATGCTTTTTACATAATTCACAATTCTTTGTTGTTGGACTTTCAAAATATCCTCCTAAACATTAACATATATTTTCAGGTTAATAATGTTCTACAATTATCAATTGAACATGTATAACATTGGGTGCTAGATGAATTACAACTTAAAAAAGTTTTATCGCAAAACTAATATGATTTATCTACATCAGATTCAAACATTCCATCAGTACATAAACAAGTATTGTTCTTCAGATATCGTAATTATTCACAAGAAGTACAATTATTAATTGATTACAAGCATGCTGAACAACTATCTTAGCATTTTTAACGAACTCCATCTATTTCAGTATATCCAATTTAACATTTTATCCATCATCATAATATCAATAAATGCATGCATTTATTGAAACCAGAAACTAATATTCTAAAGTATTATTTTAGCATGAGGTACAAGTATCTGACTATGATTTACAATTTTTACATCTATACCTGCATTCTATTAATATAATTGATTATTACTTTGGCAAATTGGCAATCCAGAAATGAAATATCCATCTTTACAGATACAAGTATTTCCTACTTAATATCTATTATCACTTTCCATACAAGTAAGCCAATCTGTTTCTTCAATACCTCCACAAGTTCCGCAAGAATAATGACATCCTAATCATTAATGAATTGTATACTTTAACATTTAACTAATCCATTAAAGTCAAATGTACTTATAGCACCACCTAAAATTTTAATGGTGTGTTTACACGTACTTCCATCTAAATATCTATCATCATAGCTAGAAGTACAATTGTCAAATTTGTTTATTATAACAGAAGGAACTACAAACTAGACTTATAAGAACATTCTTTTAATTAATTATTTATATAATTACTTTTACACTATGATAAATCTGATTCTTCATAATATCCATCAGCACATTTACATGAGTTACCTTTTTATATTCTAAAATGAAATTCAAAAGAACAAACAATGCACCCATTTTCAGTATTATCAAAACATTTTTGTCAAGAATAGTGAAAGTCTATTGATATTTTTTAATAAATATACTTACACATTATAATTTTCAATATCATAATAATTAGCTTGGCAGATGCATGTTGAAAAGTCAAGCTATCTATATATGGTATCACATGTTAAACAATTAGATGAGAGTGGTCCATTACATGTATCCAGACATTTATATTTCTTTCTTATAATTTCTTTCTCATTATTAGAATTAATAAAGTGCCTCTTAACTTTCTTATTTTTCTAGCATCTGAAGGATGAATCTTTTGTATAAAATATCAAAAAAAGACAATATTTTAAAGTAGCTCGAAATTCCAAGTAATGCATTGTAACAATAATTCAAAAAATTTGTGCACACATTCATGTATTAATATGTAAATATCCAAGCACATATGTATATGTGTATCAATATAGTTAGCAATATTGAAAAAGAATAAAATCATAAATAAATTTGATATTCTAAAATGTTATTTACATTTCCATACAATAAAGTGAATATTAGTTCCAATATAGCTGAAATATAAACAAGTATCTAAAATATAATCTTAACATAAAATTTTTAAATTGGAGAAGTTCTTTT